GATGAACTTCCTCGCAGACTCTTTTCACCACGGCGATGCAGTTCTTACACACAATGTTTGTATAGCACTCTCTGTATAGAAACATTTAGGACAAGTATGAGACAGTTGCCACTGTTTTCACCTACGTTCACAAGTTCTTCTGTAAAGAGGTTTGTCTCTATACATCCTCTCCACACATTATACAAATAGATACTTTTGAACTTGGAGACAAATTCAAATTCCTAGATAATCTTATTGGTGTTTCAGATACATTCTGCAATTTGGCCATCTTACTTCAAAAAAAGCATTGTGAAAATTAAGTTTTAAAAATATGTCTGTAAGAGTGGGTGAGTGAGTAGAGCAAGTGTAGCCCCAATGCAGATGTTATAAGTCTCAGAATCTCCCATCGCGCTGGGGCTCCTTTTTAATATAAATAGAGTTATTTGTTTCTATCAAAATTATATATATCTTTCGAGACTCAGCATTAGTCTACATATTGATTATCCAACTAGAATAGCAGAGGTTTGGAAAATTTTAATAGCTTTTTTGCAGATCATGTTCGTTCAGAATGCAGTCATCTATGTAAGACTGAAAGCTCACTCTCCCTTTGTGAAGGAGTGAGTGAGTTTGGTTTTATGCCACTTTTAGCAATATTCCAGCAATATCACTGCAGGGGACACTAGGCTAGGCTACCTGACCGCCCCCTTTGTGAAGGAACATTACCATAGATTTGTCACCAAAAAGTCACCTGGCTGAATGGTGAAACAGAGAACTTTAATTAAAGGAAGCCGCTGAAGAAACTGATGATTGAAAACTAGTGAAGTCCAAGATATTTTTATAATTTTACACTTATCCTGCATTACTCCATAATGCATTTACTGCTGTGGACTTTCATCTCAAAACTCTGATTCCCTCAGCCAATCATCGAATGTGAGGACAGCGGCAATCGACAAGTCTGTAGACGTGAAAACAGGAGTTAGGTTTACGGAGTGTCCAGGTACGACACAGCCACAGACGATAAACACCAGAGGGCGATGGTGTTGCGGCTGACTTTCGATTGCGAGGTCAGTGACTCCGGTACGAAGAGGCGTTGTTGTTGTCTCTGAGAGAGAGAGAGAGAGAGGGAGGAGGAAATGAGAAGGGCGTTTAATTCACTGACACGGGCGGCTGTGGCGAGTGCTTTGAGGAAGACCGTTTATTTCGTCAGATGGTATAACCACGCCGTGATGAGGTGCTCCAAAGGTGCGTTTCTCAGCAGGGTGAGAATGTTCTTCAAATCCCAAGCTCGTAGACAAAACTTTGCCTTCTGGTCTTCCAGCTGGAATGTGCAGAGCAAGGCTTGTAGTTCCAGGATTTTCGTCATACGCCGAACAGAGTTGAGAGCCACTAGGTAGGTCATGATGGTACTACCCTTGAGCCAACACTTGTGGCAGAGATAGAGAAGGAACTCGGCCAAGTACTGAGGTGATGCAGTGGCGGAGTCTTGATGTTTTTCTCTGAAGGACGATGTGACATCATGATGGCCTCGCCGTTCTGGCCGAGTATCCTTTAGCGTCTAACAATCTCTGTAGATGGACCAGACGTGTTGACATAATCTGTCTGAACACACAATGCCATTTAGAAAGATGTCAAAAGTAACAAATGTTATATTTGGCAAAGATAACACTTTCTTGGTAAAGTACAGATTCTCATACTTTTTGGGATTGAGTCCCGTCTGGGATTCGAACCCACACCGCCAGAGTAAGGTACCTCAACGCCAGCCAAAAAAGTTTGAGAATCTGTACTTTACCAAGAAAGTGTTATCTTTGCCAAATATAACATTTGTTACATAATCTGGTCTCGGATGTGGCAGCCTGCTGTGGGGATGAATTAGCAGGTTTGGACAGTCTGGGAGTGGCGACAGATCGGTATCGGCTATCTCTCTGAGGTTGATGAACCAGGCCCTCACCGGCCACCAGGGCAAGACCAAAGTCAGATTGAGGCTCAGCATCGACTTGATCTTTTGGATTACACTGGGAAGGAGTACAGTCGGCAGAAAAGTGTACGCTGAAGGCATCAACCGCCCAGGCCAAGGGATCTGGTACCGGCAAACAAGAGCGAAGGTGTCTGGGTGGAGCTTCCACTTTGTCTGGTTGGGATAGAGCGTCTGTCAGGATGTTGTGACAACCCGGTATGTGTTGGACCCGGAATTGGATCCCCAGATGATCCACCAGGTTAAAGAAGCAGAATGTCTGTTAAAAGATCGAGTGTGAGTGAGTCGTTCCTGGTTCCTAAGGCACCAGACGACAGTTATGTTGTCCGTCGAAATGGAGAGAACTGAAGGCGGAATGAGGGTGTCAACTCTGACTTCCTGAGGTTGATCTTCCATTCCAGTTGGTGGAGGAGACACAGGGTAAAGTCCCTGTGACGAAGTAGAGTGACCGTGTCCCAATGATTTAGGAGGCAGTCGAACTGAATATCCCCGGGTGGAGGAATGAGGCTATTGGCTTGATAAGGCGTGTGAATAGCCAGGGGCCCAAAGAAATTCCAAATGGGAAGACAGCCCATAAAGATGAAGCGGCGAAATTTCCGGTTGTCAGGACATGAAGATATGCGTCCTTGATATCCAGGCTGATGAGCGCACTGTGTGCCTGGATACGGGATCGCAGTAGCCTGAACGTGGTCTTCCTGAAGTAAGGTGGACGCTCCAGATAGCATTTGTTGAAAGCGGCGAGGTATCCTGCATACTGTATTTGGACAAGGAAGATTGTTGAGCAGAAGCCCTATGTTATGGCTGGGGCGTGTACAACCTCTATGGCCTCTTTGGCCAGCAGTGACGTGATGTTTTGTTGTAGGAGCTGCTGTTGGGTAGGGGGGTAGAAGTCTGCTATAGGGGACCATGTGAAAGGCAGGCCGTCTATAAGCGTCAACTTGTACCCCTGCCGGATGATGCTGGCAACATAGTCGATCCCCCAGGATCTCCCAAATTTTACAGAATCGACCCAGTCTCCCACCTGCTGGAGTGTCGACAACTTGGACAGCTGGGGATGGGAGGTCCCAGTCGTGTGTCTGGAATTTCACTTGGAGGTCTTGCAGCTGCCACTCCCTTACTTGGAGTGACCAAGGCAGGACTAGGACGATCTTGAGGACCTGCCTCTGCCTCGGATTCATCCTCAAAACGCCAGACTGGGACGGCTTGAGGGAGGCAGGCTGTGAGACTCCAGCCAGGGCCTGGAGGGCAGTCTAATCGTGGGCGAAGGCTGACACTAGGGCATAAGTTTTTGAGATTTGACCGTTGTAGAGGGCTGGAGATGACCAGGGTTGGCTTAGAAGGTCCCTCTTAAACTAGTGAGTTCTATGAGTGCAGCTCGCATATGAGAATGGCCCTAGTGGTCAATGCCTGAGAGAGCGATGAATCTCAGTTTCCTCATAGGCGAGTTTGTTATCTGAGACTCGCACAGAGGTGGAACGGTTGGACCTGGTCATTGGATGAAGGTCGATAGGACGAAGTTTCCTTCCGACGAGTTGATAGATACCCACTAGAGCGTCTCCTAGATCGGGGCGTCCGAAAGGACGAGTGACTGCCACTGTGACAAGATGATGTACTGGGAGAGTCCACAGAGTAATGAGAGGCAAACCGATGGATCCACTATCGGTGGAAGAGAGTGCGTCTGTATAGGCATCTGCATAGGCGCATGGATAGGCGCGTTCAGAGATGCAAGCGTCTGTATAGGTGCTGTCTGGTGGATAGACACTTGAATAGACGCTGGCATAGGCCCTGTAGGCAGCCCTTGTAACAGCGTCTGTATAGGCGCGAGGGCCATGGCTGAGGACGACACTGTGACCGATCGGGCTGTAGAGGCTGCCCGCTTAAGCTTCAGTGCTTGCTGCGTCTTGCGTTTCTTAGACACTCGGAGGTATTGTCTGAAAGCTGTGGGGGAAAGTGGGAGACAGTCTTAACATCTGGAAGACTGGAGGCATGGTGATGTACAATTTAGGCACAGTGATTTGGGATCCCTTGCCGACTTGGAACAAGATGGCATGTTATCTGCAATGAAGTAGAGTAAAATCACAATGTATCCCTGCCCGACTATGTCTGCTCTAATTTGTTTTCCCAGCTATGTTAGTTTATGTAAACAAGTTTATGAAGAACATAAAACAACACACATTTACAAACAATATAATTGCAATAGTACGACAATGATGAGTTACTAGGCATCAAAGAATACAGCACGTGAACCATGTAGACCGCGTGGCTACGAAAAATATTCAAGATGGCTACTAAAAACAACAAGACACCTGAGATTACGTTGGTGTTCTTTAAGAACACAAACAGGTGTCAAAACATTTATGCAATGCTTAAACATATAGGATGTATGAAGATACAAACTGTAAGCACAACACAAGTACAAGAATATCAACTCAAAGAAGCAAAACATGTGAGGGTATCAACAAGTTTAATGAGCAGATAAAAAAACAGGTCTTCACTCTTCAAGTGACAAAAGCATCTGTCACTCCGAGGATCTGTGAGACCACTTCCTTTTGTCACATGGGAGCTGTGTGATAGGGTTGGTCTCTCAGCTTGTTGAAACAACTTCTTCAAGCAAGATCTTCACACAGCTCTTTCTCTCTGTCAAGAACAAGCAGTAAATGCATTAACCCTTTCGCCCCGACTGCCCGATTTATCGGGCAGCATAAACCGTGTCCCAGTACCTGGCTGCCCGAAAAATCAGGCGGCTACGGTCCAAGCCCCACACACGTCTGCCCGATAAATCGGGCGGCACGACCGTGTTTACAAAATCGCTCTTTCTACTTCCTTTCTCGTGTGTAATCTCGTTCTAAATATGGAAACGAGATCTACACGTAATGACACGTCATTCGATGGAATTTCCCAGTCTTTTTGGCGCGAAAATCGCGAATGTCACCTGTTTTCGCGACAGGTATTTTTCTCGCTTGAATCGCAAATCGAGCGTAATGGCGGCCAACTACGATTCGGATAGCAATCAGATGACTAACAACGACTCTATCGGGAATAATAATGTGTTTGATTTGAATAATTTACGCGAAGATGAGAGGAAATTTCGCGAAGATTTTCACGGTTTCGACGAGGTTCCCCCCCCGCCAACTTTCAAGAATGGGAGTGGCAGAGGGACCACAACGGTGGAGACATGAGGGATTTTGAAGAGGCGACCGGACTCAAGAATATATATTGACACGGTGAGTGAAGTATCGTGCTATTGATTTTTTCCAAATGTTTTACAATGATTCTGTGTTCGAACAGATTATCAGTGCGACGAATGAGAATGCAGCCTACACGTGAACGAGCGATCACAACAACAACAAAGGTGAGTGGCATGACGTATCTCTTTTCTTTTTTTTTGAAATTTAATTTTCTGATCGCAATCCGAATTGTAGTTTGCCGGGTTTGTCGTATGTCCTTATATTTCGCTCAATTTGAATAAAATTTATTTCCATATTCATGTTTGTTTTCTTGTTTTTTACATCTTAATTTAAATTTTAGTAATTGTAATAATTATGTATTTATTAATTGATGTAATAAAGTACTGATTTAATTTATTATGCAATTGTAAATAGCAGTGTATTGTAAATTGTTATCACAACTTGTATATTTGCAGAACTTGAATTTACCATCTTTCCGGCCTTTTACAATCTTTCCCTCCTTTCAGATCAATCTGTGATATCTTCTCTGTGATGTCATTCTTATAGTAGCTGTGGTTCAATGTTCAGGTAATGTGATAAATTACTATTTAAAAACTTAAATACTTAATTTTTGTTTCAAATCCTGAAAAAGAACAAAATAAATCAAATATTTGTGTTTTTACCTGTGTTAACGAGTTTACCTGCGTTAACAAGTTTACCTGTGTTAACGAGTTTACCTAAGAGGCTGTAAGTGTATCATAAGTAATATGTGACATCAGTATAGAAAACAAAGTCAGTACCAAGAGTTGTAAAATTGTTTATTTGTTTACAGATGTGCATGAAGAGAATTTACCTGTAATACCTGGGATTACCTGTGCCGTCCAAGATGAAAAGACCACTGTGTTTTGTTTACCTTGTATCTGTGTTTTATTTTTGTGATTTTTAATACAATTTGAGCCAAAATTCATTATCTGTTTTCATTTCTTCAGTGTTTTCAAGTTTTATTTCACTTGTAAACACCTGTAATTAGAAAATAACAAAGGTTAGAGACAATAACAACAAAGAATATTACAGTATACTTAATCCTCTTTACAATGGTATATGATAAATGTATATTAAAAGCAAGTTTCTGGTAGAAAAAGTGCACCAAAAATGATAGTGTGATTTTCCAATAATACTGCCATGGAGGCCAGTGTGCAGGCCTTGTCAGTGTCAGGGACTGCAGTGTTTCAAGGGACATAACTCTGGGGCAGCCAGTGATGAAAGAGTTAAGGAGTAATGCAGGATAAGTAAAAAATATTTCCACTTTGTGAGTCGTGTACATTTCGTTTGTGTTTTGGGGGCACCAGAAAAATCCTGTAATAAAACCCTGGCATTAGCTGGAGACAGAATTCCAAGCTGCTAAGGCTTTAATTTTAGGTGCACTGCAGTTTCCAAGAGCTGGAGTAGAAACTGTCCGTGATAGTGGTTTCAGCCATCCTGCCACAGTAGGCTTAGTAATGTCTTTGTCTGACTGTCTTTTTAGGAATTAATGTTTGTTTGTTTGCTTGTTGTTTAACACCACACTCAGCAATATTCCATCTTAAAGACAGTGGTCTGTAAATAATCGTGTCTGGACCAGACAATCCAGTGATTATTATCATGAGCATCATATGCCAGCATATGCCTGATGTGTACAAAAGATTTCATAAAAAAAATATCGAATGGTCTTTGCTCAGAAATTGGTACATGAGGCAGGTTATATATCCCCTGCTGAACTAGGTTGGGGATAATGATGGCAAAGTTCTTATAGTTACCCTTTGTCCACATGTGCTTGTGCTTAAAGAATATATTTCCCAGCATACCCTACATCGCAGTCTATAGAGTGACCCCATGTATAAGGCGACCCCCCTGTACAAGCCTGCAAAATCAATGCTAATTTATATAACCTGTCTATAAAGCAAATCGGAATGAAGCACATCACAAGCACAAACACAATCCCTACATTGGCAATAAAAACATGTTTGTCTTCTGCAGAAAAATATTACATTGTTTCCCTTCAGTGATCAGGGAAACGAACAGAGATAAAAAAAAACAACTAGGCATGATCATTTACCGATTAAATTGTATTTCCTGTTCTGATAGGCATTGTTTTATATGCAGCGATTAAGATTACTGTGTGTATTTTCTTGTAAACTAAGCCTGAAGTAGCAATCAGCTGTACACACATTTCTCAGAATCTACCGGTGATTTGGTTAATAATTACCCAATAATATAACTTGAAAGAATTTTGATACAATAATCGAAAGATTTGAATCTGAAACTATTATTTTATTCGGTATAATTTATTCTAATATCATATTATTTTAGCAGTATTTTACTATATTTAACCATAAGCGTAGCACTTTAGTACAGCTGATCGCTATTGCCGGATATTTTTTCGTGTGGAACAATTTGACCAATCACCGACGATGCTTCCGCACTCGCCATAGTGAAAACTTTATGTTGACAAATAATAGTCAAACTACAACAAATATGACTTTCAGCGAGCCAAGTATGGCATTTATGATATATATATACGGCGATCGGACCAATTTTCTCCCGAAAAACTTAAAATATAACAACATTTATTTAGATTCTACATGTATAACATCCAGTCGTAAAATAATACAGACTACTTTGATTAATTTACACAAAGTATTTTTATTTTTTTACGCATGCAGTTTGAATCATCGTCCATGATCAGTGTTACATAGATCTACATGTCCCATGCCACTGTGAAATAATTGCGCCACTGTTCCATTCACTACCATCATTACGTAATGTGAACCTCAGCAAGGAATATCTGTACACCGCTCTTTCCTACACCGCGGGGTCAGTTTCTTGGACCCCAATGAGAGCGGTATATCCAGGGATCACTGTATATCCATTCTCTATCCACTAAAGTTCATTTTCAGGCGTCAATAGCGGTAATATGACCATGGTTGCTGTAAATAACGGTGAGTTGTGTGATATTCCGATCACTTCACATATGATACTGCCGAAATAAAAAGAAACAATATTGAATGAAATTTTGAATAAAATTAATAAAATAGATTACAAAGGTAGGTCCACATATATAATGAACTGTTTTTATACCCAGACAGTGTAATTACATGATTAGTTTGCGTACTTAATTACGGATTTGTTGACATGGTATTTCTAGTGTTACATGCTCACAGTAATATCTGTGTTGGGGGGAAAAACATCAAAACTCTTCAACCCTTTGTATAAGACGACCCTCCTTGAAAGCCCCCTAATTTGAGGTACGAAAACCTCGCCTTATACACAGCGATTTACAGTACTTCAATTTGGCATGTGATGGATGTAACCTGTTTCTACCCATTCAAGCCAGCCAATGATTCTAGACTTGATGAACAACACTGTATACCATACATAAACACCATACCTAAACTCTTGTCTTTATCATGTTTATTGCAAGATATTTTCCCAATAATTGCACATTTCTGTTATGTCCAAGAATCCATGACATGGTGACGTCAAAAACCTTCACTGAATAATCAAGCAGTTTAATGGGAGTAGGGTGGATAATAAGTGAGCAAGGTATATGATGATCCAATCCAAGCGATTGAGCTGCTGAAGGTCTACTCACCACTCCATCAATGTGCATAAAGCATTCCCCTCCACATGGTTCACTTCCATGCTTTCGATCTGCAGTTTTTCTACTCAGCATACTTGGAGTAGGATGATATGCTGTCGAAAATTTAAAAAACATGACAGTATTTTCATAATTTATGCGACAGAATTGAATTTTAGAAACACTATTTCCGAATACAAAGTTTCAACAATTTCAGGAGACAAAGAGCAGTGAAAAGAGCTAACCAAATGTGAAGGTCAAAACTCAAACAATGCCAAGACTCATGCCATGCTACTCTGCATGTCACGCTTTTAACTGCAAGCCAAATTTTAACTAGAGGTGTTTGCAGGTACTCACAAAAACAGAAGCAGTCCTATCCCCACCATTTCCTCTAAGTTAAAAGTCACAATGTACCACCATGTACTTAGAGACCTTGACCGTAATCAAGAATTACACATGTCTCAGGAATGTACATGTGAAATTACAACAGTAACTGGCAATAAATTATACAATCATGTTTCACAATAATGCTGACCTTTGACTGTCATTGCACCAACAATAGACCTTTAGTCTGTAGAGAGGTAACCATGCCTCAAAATTTGACAGTCACACAACCATGACTTACACAAAGCTGTCCTTACCCTTCAAAGTAGTGCTTCATCCTAGAAAAGGTATACACCAAGTTTATTGATAATGGCATAAATACTTTTTGAGAAAGTATAACCACAAACATTTTTTGTGAGTTTTTTCCTATTTTGTGAACTTGATTGTTTACGATTTCATGTCATGAGTCCCCAAAAGCTCCAGATCCATGTGGAATAAGACCCTTCTGCGATATCCTCTAATGTCAATATTTCTGCCACTAAGATTGAAAGTTGCCTCAAAAGTGGCTTGATCTTTGACATATGCAATTTATGTTTGATTTGGCATGATTTCTGAAGATGTAAAGTCCCTTGGCTATAGAGGTAAGCATGCCTCAGAAACTGACATTGATATACTCATGTTTTAGTAATCATTGAATGCTGACCATGACGGTTGACTAATACTGACCAAACCTTATCTAATCAGTCCCCATCATAGAGATGGAATATACATAGTTTAATGAAAGTGAAACCACAAACTTTCTTCTGAATCTTTTTTAATCTTGTGAGTTTGACCTTTGAACTTTTCACGACATGACGTGCTGAAAGATATTTCTAGAGCCAATTCGAAAAAGTCCATGGAAGAATTATCTCTACTGTCAATAATCTTTGTGTAATTGTCATTAGAAGAATATATTTTGGCGGTGGTCATCACCCCAAAACTAGAGAAGTCCTGATTGACAGAGCTGCTAACAATGACACATGCAGAAATGGCACACAGGAAAGTAAAGCACAAAAGTGATATTTCCAAAATAAGGACTCAGCACCAGAGGCCAACACATACATCATTTATTACACAATGACACAAGTATGTTTAAAATGGCCATTTCCTTCCAATCAGTGACATCATGACATAACAGCATGGAAATAGTATTTTCTCTTTTACAGAGAAGTGAGTGAAATAAGTACTGCAATTGTGTTGTTGGCTGAAACTGACAAAGTTAAGATCTTATTTTGATGACAACTTTCAGGACAAATGTCATAAGCCACGGCAGATGAATAAAAAAGCTGACAGGTCTGAACAACCGAACTTCAAAATTGCAGCATATTGCTTTTTATCATACAATGGGTAAGTTTCTCAGCAGGATAAAGCCAACTGATAAAAATAATATCTGTTGGGGTTACATGTGGATAGGGATGCAAATATCAACGGTCAAGTAGGAGTCTTTCAGTGTTTATAAACAAACTTGGTGTCACCCTTCGTCAATCGAGTCAGAATTAACCATCACAAATTTTGAAAAACTAAGGGGACAATTGCTATCATTATCAAAAGTATAGTCTAACATACTGAAAATCAGTATCTAACTGACGCAGCTTAGGTATTTTACAAGTTTTGTCAACTTTGGAGATATAAATTGCGAAAAAAGTTAACAAGGGCACTAGCCAAGCAGGATCAGTTGCCATATCTGTGCTTGTAGACCTCTGTGGCTTGGAAATTTTCCACAAATTAAAACTGTTGGGATTTAGCCGAAATATGTCCAAATGGTTTTGTTGCTGTGTGTACATCTGACAGCCCTTCCTAACGTTATGACAGGACAGGCCAACTATCAACAACGTCTGACTGTGGTCTGTGACGTCTCGTAGAATAGGGTTAGAGTAAGTTCCCTTTGATAAATGGCAGTTACTCTACTGGACAGACTGATGGATAGCCGCAAAAGGCAAGGAGAAACAATTTGTGTTGCATATACATAGTTACACCACTATATAAGAAACACATTGGCAACTGTCACTGTCCGACTGACACATCACTTACCTTCTGACGTAATATATACTAATGCCGTATTCCAGGAAAACTTGCAATGTGTAGGTAATGTTTGTGAGAGATGGGAAGAGATTTTTCAAGTACAGTATTGAAGAATGACATTATATGAAAAAGAGGTTATCATGCTTGTGTGTTTGGGGATGGTAAGTATCCTGTATTAGGACAAAAACACTACGTATGTAGCCTGCCAAGGCTTGCTAAACACAATGTTTATTCATCCCCAAACACTCACGTGATAACCCCTTATCCTTTACACTGGATACTGGCTAATGCTTTAATGAGCTGTCTAAATGATGTTTTGATGTGGGGATGGATGAGCAGTCGATACTGTGTTTTGTAAACTTTGAAAACAAATGGCTATAGAATTGTACTATTATTACTGCCACACAGAGAGGACGAGGAGAAGCAGGAGTTACTGTAGACCTATTGTGAAACATTTCATGATTTGTGTCCAGGAACCTTCATTTATGTTATACAAAGACTGGGATAGAAATCTTGAACTTACGATGAAGGAAGCAATCATATTTGAAACATCTGCGACAAAACAATGTGTGAAATGAATGCATTGTCTGCTCTCGGGGCACTGATTCAGCATTCACACCATCAATGTTGGGTGTACACTCCGGGGGTAGGCTGTTCGGGTCACTTGCTTCACACAGCTCTTTGTACCTGGAACAGAGGTAGTTCACAAGTTAACACAGTACGCAGCAGCACATTTTAATCTAATGACATTTTTATCAAGTACATGTACACTGGAAGAGTAGTTGTGTACCAATGGATCATGTGATCTGTTAACTCACTGTATACAAAAATCTAATTTATGAACATAACAAATAACAAAATATTAACCTGTATATATCTTCCTTGAACATTCAATGAAACATAATTGTGAGCAAAACGAGATTCGAACCCATGATCATAGATTTCTGGCTTAGCCAAGGGACACAACTGTGCACAGCTAATTAGGGTGCCTTAGATAAATGGGTCACTCTTGCCAAGTATTGAAGGACTGCATTGCAAAAGAAACATTTTTTTTATGACTGTAAATCTTGAAATTGACGCTAATGTGAATTTAATGCGAAAAATGCGAGTGGTCTTTGATTGCATTAATTAACTAAGTATTTATGTCTCCAAAATGACTATCAACAATAAGATGGCCTCACATCACAATTTGGATAGCGAAAATACTAAGTTGAATTTAAACACAAACACAGTTTATTGAGAAGCCGTTCAACAAGTATATAACAATGTCATTTAAAGAATAGGAATCACACAATGGGTATCCGGCGAGTTATCACTGCTAGGGTCAAGAGTTCTACCCACTCGTGTCAAGCTTGTTGACACCTTCTACGCATACCAAGTGAACTGTTGTTGGTTCAATTATTTTATTACCTTTGAACTTCCTTAATGCCAGTCAAAAGAGTAAACATATAAAAATATATATATATGCAAAAATAAGTGTGTCATGAACATGATGAAACTAGTGTGTATGTGTGTCACTTGCAGGTTTCTCACTACTTTCCTGCTCACAAAACTTTTCAGATTTACAGTAGTAAAGGTAACTGTGCCTTTGTTGGTAAGAAAATGAAAGCATAAATGCATTTGGAACTGGCTGTTGATATATCTTAAAGTAACTGTTTACTTCTGTAACATTGTGACATAGGTACACAACAAGGTTTGATTAGCTGATAAACCAAATACACATGTGCCGGTAAGAGACATGACATATTTCTATTTACATACGAAAGGTGTCCCTTACAGAGTGGTGATATTATATGAAAACACCTCTGTATTACGTCATCAAGAATTTCTGACAGCGTGCCCAAATGGATGTCGATAAATAACCGATCATCTAACCATTGACAACTTGTTTGATAGGCATTACTTAGAAATTGACGGGTGACAAGGTAGACAATTTTATGGATAACAACTCGGTATAGATTGACAACATTAACTATTGAAAATTATTTTGGCAACATCTGTCAACAATGGCTATTGTTTAGTGCAGATGATGGCACCTCAAAGATTTAGCTCGACAACTAAATTTTAAGAAAGAGCCTAATTTGGATTGTGAAAATTAAATCTGAACCCTACTGAAGCGCTCAACACCCTACAAAAATAGCAGGTCTGAGACTTTATGTTTCTGAGAGGATGGCATGTTAAACAACAAGCTTAGAACTTATCAAAATACAAATACAGTTGAGTCCTGTTATGTCAGACCTCCAGGACCGGGCTGTTACATCGAGATATCCAGACATTCGAGACAACGAGGCATGGACATCCAGACAGCAAGTAGCAGTAATCATGGTAATAAAAGATCAATAGCAATATGACTGCATTTTAGAACAATAAGAACACGAGAGACGTATGCGATGGCAAATTGAAACATATTTTGCAGGCAATGATCAATGACAATTGTGACAAATCATGTACAGTGTAATTACATGTATATATAGATTGTTTGATAGGCATTACTTAGAAGTTGACGGATGGCAAGATAGACACAATTTATGGATAACAACTTCTTTAATACAGTGGTCCCTTGCTACAACGCTACCAATGGGGTCCAAATAATTGGTGGGCGTTATAGACGATGAGGCGTTCAACCGAGGTCGAGGTGGGGGAGCCACGATCTTCGCCTTGTCTCGCACATTGCAATGATACAAGTTGTTTACCGTTCATAGTGTAAAAATATATATCCATTATGTTTTCGCCGTTTGTTATTATTTACAAGCCTTAACTGTCACATTCAATGTGAATGTAATCTACTTACATGAAAATATCGATCGATAATGGTAGTAACAGACGCTATGAGTGAAGAGCCAATCACAATTCATTACACAAATACAGAGTGATTCAGTGGCATTGATTGGTCATGTTGCTTAAAATACGGAAAACAAGAGTTTTGACCAGCACTATGCGCATTCATACACATTCATGCAAATATAGATACACATTCAAGCCAGATTAATTGGTTTTATACGGTTACTTGATCCGAATCAAAAGGAATGACCGCCGTGTTGTGACAGCAACTACATGTGAGTTGACAGTATCGCCTCAAATTGGATTGCCCACTAATTAAGAAAATAAACTTCGCTTGTGGTTCTCTTTTATTGCATACATGCACTTCTAAGATCAAAGGATGTATAGTGTGAAAAGTTAACTAGTAGAACAATCGTATTTCCGGGACTTGCCGCGGATGTTTTCAAACAGATTTTTAGAACTCCATTCAATGATAAACGGTTGATTATGCAATGAGAAGCGTTATGTGCAAATGAACAACGAACAACAATACAATCACGGCTGTGTAAAACTCTCAGTATTAAAAGTGTACATAAATTTTGGGAGCCATGAGAAACCGCGCGTAGTAACCGAGGTAGCGCTTTATCGAAGAGCCCAATAGCGAGGGATCACTGTACTGTGAAAAGCGACGTTTCGGTATAGTTCCTTGACAACAGTATAAGGATCTATACCGAAACGTCGCTTTTCACAGTATTAAAGAAGTTGTTATCCATAAATTGTGTCTATCATGTACATATAGGATTGACAAAAAACCTATATGTACCTTATTAGGAATATCAGCATCAGTAGCAGCAATCAGAAATAAACAACAGCAGAGTGGCACATGGTTGTCATACAATATTTCCAAAAAGTTGAATTTACTTTTTAAGGAAAAAGATGTTTGTTTGCATTTACTGGCACTTGCTTCTGTGGATGAAACTAGGTTAGACAATGTAGCGAGTGCTTCAAAAAGTTGATCCTCGGTGACAGCTGAACACCAAAGGTAAAGGGCCATCTAGCCTAAAAGTTCTTTTGTATCCATACTGGAGGCAAGCATACAGGCTCAGTTTCATCTTTTTCATCATCACTGTAGACAGGCAGAGAACTGGCCTGGCTTCCAGGGATAGGGAACAATGTCATCATCAGTAGTCACAACATGGGCATATATTCTGACAAAGTCAAACAGATTAACACTGCATGGCTTCTGGACAAAGTCTGGCTAAATGGATATCATCTGAGTCGTTCGGTTCTGTATTTACAACAAAACCTGCAAATGGCAAAACACTTAGACGTATCAAGGACTGTGATGACAGGCTCCTTTCCAGTGTCCAGTGACTTTATCCTATGGTTGAGTGCTAAGTTATGGTACCTTGGTTTAAGGTTAATGATCACATCCTGGTCCATGGGTTAGGTCTTCTAAGTTGTGTTCGATAGAGGAAACACAAGTGTAATGTGTTTAAGGCCAGTACACATGGGTGAGCATGGCAATTATCTATAAGTGAAATTTTGCAATATCTCCTTTGCTAATTTCTTAGCAAAGGCAGCATTTGGAAAAGATTTCTATATCATGCCGATTGCATCGTTAGCAACGTAGTCACATGGCCAAGTTTTGATGTGTATGAAACACGTAGAGTTTTTTTATTTGCTAATAAGTAGAGGAAATTTATCAGTATCTGATTGATTACTGCACCCCATTGCTGTTAATTGTTCTTTGCCTCTGTTGCCGCCTTGACACTGAACCCTTTTAACTGCAAATGTTTCTTTCTGGCATAAGCCTAAAGCAGTTAACAATCTCATCTACCTTATAAATGTTATCAGCCTCAAAATCTGTCCAAATCATTTTGCCATGTGTTCAATGCTTTGGTCCATGTGTCAACTGAATTTTGACTCGCTGCAGATTTTCTTAAAGACAATACAATGCCTTGCCTTGAATCTTGTAAGCCATCTATTTCTTGCAACAAAATCTGTTTTTCAAAGGTTTTTTTAAGCCTGATCAACAGCCTTATGGCAAATGACAAGGACATTTATTGGCACATCAGAATCCCTCATTGATTTAAACCATTCTTAAAACAGCTTCCTCTTCATCTTCAAACTGAGCCCCCCAAAGTTGCTTCTTTTTAGCATTTGATTCAAGAAAACTATTCATAATCTTGTCACTGTTTTTTAGCAATGTAGACAGCATATTTAGAGGAATATTGAAATCCCTTGCGATATCTGTTTTTGACCTCAATCTGGACTCCACAGGTTGCAATGCATCAAATTTCTTTTGAATCGTGTGAAGTGTTAACTTTCTTTATATATCGAGAGTGGATGCATTGGGTCCAGTTATTCCCCCAGGCTAGGCCTGTGTCCCTCACTGGATTGCTCACAATCTCCGAAATACTGCAAAATTGTGATAACGTTACATTTCTGTCAATAAAGATTACCATTACAATTGGATTAGCAAGTAAGTACACAATTGGTTGGACAACTGGTTCCAATTGCACTGTACTTTTAAAGTGATGTTTGACATGTGAGGAAATGTGATAGATATACATGTGAGAAGGAGAAGTGCTCACAACTATGTGAGATGCAGAGTCACTCTTCTCAAAACTGTTCATGTGGAAAACATGTGTCCACTTCTAGATAAACGTACAAAATTGTATAATAAAACTAGATCTATGCACTTTGGACCCCGAGAACACTTTATTATGAATGCAGACATGATAGTATTAAAACACTGAAGCTTTGTAGCATACATAATGAATAACTGGATACAAATTTGAAAAATATACGTTTCTGACAGTTTAATTGTGTTTCTGGACATAATAAATGTTTCATTCCAGGTATATGACATCACATATGACATATCAACCAAGAATAATTGTATTAATATCCTGACATTGTAGATTGTCCAGTTTTTCCTCACCTTCTCCTCTTGCTTGTTTGAAACTTCCTGAGTACAAACATGTTGCTCCACTCCAGCATGTACTTACTTATCTTTCAGGTCGTTCTTGGATCCCTTCTCCGGAAATGTGATTGAAATAGCTTCAAATATGACATCTGCTGGGTGTCTGATGTCAGTGCATGTTGCGGAGCCCGAGGTGGGTGGTACATCCTTCAGTGTCTCATCTGCCAAAAGACATTGGCTGTAATATTCCATAGGTACTAGATGGACATGGCCCTCAACACATAGTATCATCTATGTTACAGTGTATGTTTGTCCACAACATCATCTATGATATAGCGCATGTTTGTCCACAACATCATCTATGACACAGTGGGTTTGTCCACAACATCATCTATGACAGTGTATGTTTGTCGACAACATCATCTATCACAGTGGGTTTGGCCAGATCTTCATCTATGACACAGTGTATGTTTGTCGACAACATTATCTATGACAGTGTGTTTGTCCACAACATCATCTATGACTTAGTGTATGTTTGTCGACAACATCATCTATGACAGTGGGTTTGTCCACAACATCATCTATGACATAGTGTATGTTTGTCGACAACATCATCTATCACAGTGGGTTTGGCCAGATCTTCATCTATGACACAGTGTATGTTTGTTGACAACATCATCTATGACAGTGTGTTTGTCCACAACATCATCTATGACTTAGTGTATGTTTGTCAACAACATCATCTATGACAGTGTGTTTGTCCAGATCTTCATCTATGACTTAGTGTATGTTTGTCGACAACATCATCTATGACAGTGGGTTTGTCCACAACATCATCTATGACAGTGTGTATGTTTGTCGACAACATCATCTATGACAGTGGGTTTGTCCACAACATCATCTATGACATAGTGTATGTTTGTCGACAACATCATCTATGACAGTGTGTTTGTCCACAACATCATCTATGACAGTGTGTTTGGCCAGATCTTCATCTATGAAATAGTATATGTTTGTCCACAACATCATCTATGACATAGTGTATGTTTGTCGACAACATCATCTATGACAGTGTGTTTGTCCACAACATCATCTATGACTTAGTGTATGTTTGTCGACAACATCATCTATGACAGTGTGTATGGCCAGATCTTCATCTATGAAATAGTATATGTTTGTCCACAACATCATCTATGACAGAGTGTATGTTTGTCGACAACATCATCTATGATATAGTATATGTTTGTCGACAACATCATCTATGACACAGTGGGTTTGTCCACAACATCACCAATGACAGTGTGTTTGGCCAGATCTTCATCTATGACTTAGTGTATGTTTGTCGACAACATCATCTATGACACAGTGGGTTTGTCCACAACATCATCTATGACATAGTGTATGTTTGTCGACAACATCATCTATGACTTAGTGTATGTTTGTCCACAACATCATCTATGACTTAGTGTATGTTTGTCGACAACATCATCTATGACAGTGTGTTTGGCCAGATCTTCATCTATGAAATAGTATATGTTTGGCCACAACATCATCTATGACATAGTATATGTTAGTCCACAACATCATCTATGATATAGTATATGTTTGTCCACAACATCATCTATGATATACTGAATGTTTGTCCACAACATCATCTAAGGCTTAGTGTATGTTTGTCGACAACATCATCTATGACAGTGTGTTTGGCCAGATCTTCATCTATGAAATAGTATATGTTTGGCCACAACATCATCTATGACATAGTATATGTTAGTCCACAACATCATCTATGATATAGTATATGTTTGTCCACAACATCATCTATGATATACTGAATGTTTGTCCACAACATCATCTATGACAGTATGTTTGTCCACGTCATCTATGACATAGTGCATGTTTGTCCATAACATCATCTATGATATACTGAATGTTTGTCCACAACATCATCCATGACAAAATGTATGTTTGTCCACAACATCATCTATGATATAGTGTATGTTTGTCGACAACATCATCTATGACTTAGTGTATGTTTGTCGACAACATCATCTATGACAGTGTGTTTGGCCAGATCTTCATCTATGACTTAGTGTTTGTTTGTCGACAACATCATCTATGACACAGTGGGTTTGTCCACAACATCATCTATGACATAGTGTATGTTTGTTGACAACATCATCTATGACAGTGTGTTTGTCCACAACATCATCTATGACTTAGTGTATGTTTGTCGACAACATCATCTATGACAGTGTGTTTGGCCAGATCTTCATCTATGACTTAGTGTATGTTTGTCGACAACATCATCTATGACAGTGGGTTTGTCCACAACATCATCTATGACATAGTGTATGTTTGTCGACAACATCATCTATGACATAGTGTATGTTTGTCGACAACATCATCTATGACAGTGGGTTTGCCAAAAACATCATCTATGACATAGTGTATGTTTGTCGACAACATCATCTATGACAGTGTGTATGGCCAGATCTTCATCTATGAAATAGTATATGTTTGTCCACAACATCATCTATGACATAGTGTATGTTTGTCGACAACATCATCTATGATATAGTATATGTTTGTCGACAACATCATCTATGACACAGTGGGTTTGTCCACAACATCATCTATGACAGTGTGTTTGGCCAGATCTTCATCTATGACTTAGTGTATGTTTGTCGACAACATCATCTATGACACAGTGGGTTTGTCCACAACATCATCTATGACATAGTGTATGTTTGTCGACAACATCATCTATGACAGTGTGTTTGGCCAGATCTTCATCTATGAAATAGTATATGTTTGGCCACAACATCATCTATGACATAGTATATGTTAGTCCACAACATCATCTATGATATAGTATATGTTTGTCCACAACATCATCTATGATATACCGAATGTTTGTCCACAACATCATCTAAGGCTTAGTGTATGTTTGTCGACAACATCATCTATGACAGTGTGTTTGGCCAGATCTTCATCTATGAAATAGTATATGTTTGGCCACAACATCATCTATGACATAGTATATGTTAGTCCACAACATCATCTATGATATAGTATATGTTTGTCCACAACATCATCTATGATATACTGAATGTTTGTCCACAACATCATCTATGACAGTATGTTTGTCCACGTCATCTATGACATAGTGCATGTTTGTCCACAACATCATCTATGATATACTGAATGTTTGTCCACAACATCATCCATGACAAAATGTATGTTTGTCCACAACATCATCTATGATATAGTGTATGTTTGTCGACAACATCATCTATGACTTAGTGTATGTTTGTCGACAACATCATCTATGACAGTGTGTTTGGCCAGATCTTCATCTATGACTTAGTGTATGTTTGTCGACAACATCATCTATGACACAGTGGGTTCATCCACAACATCATCTATGACATAGTGTATGTTTGTTGACAACATCATCTATGACAGTGTGTTTGTCCACAACATCATCTATGACTTAGTGTATGTTTGTCGACAACATCATCTATGACAGTGTGTTTGGCCAGATCTTCATCTATGACTTAGTGTATGTTTGTCGACAACATCATCTATGACAGTGGGTTTGTCCACAACATCATCTATGACATAGTGTATGTTTGTCGACAACATCATCTATGACATAGTGTATGTTTGTCGACAACATCATCTATGACAGTGGGTTTGTCCACAACATCATCTATGACATAGTGTATGTTTGTCAACAACATCATCTATGACAGTGTGTTTGGCCAGATCTTCATCTATGACTTAGTGTATGTTTGTCGACAACATCATCTATGACAGTGGGTTTGTCCACAACATCATCTATGACATAGTGTATGTTTGTCAACAACATCATCTATGACAGTGGGTTTGTCCACAACATCATCTATGACATAGTGTATGTTTGTCGACAACATCATCTATGACAGTGTGTTTGTCCACAACATCATCTATGACAGTGTGTTTGGCCAGATCTTCATCTATGAAATAGTATATGTTTGTCCACAACATCATCTATGACATAGTGTATGTTTGTCGACAACATCATCTATGACAGTGTGTTTGTCCACAACATCATCTATGACTTAGTGTATGTTTGTCGACAACATCATCTATGACAGTGTGTATGGCCAGATCTTCATCTATGAAATAGTATATGTTTGTCCACAACATCATCTATGACATAGTGTATGTTTGTCGACAACATCATCTATGATATAGTATAAGTTTGTCGACAACATCATCTATGACACAGTGGGTTTGTCCACAACATCATCTATGACAGTGTGTTTGGCCAGATCTTCATCTATGAAATAGTATATGTTTGGCCACAACATCATCTATGACATAGTATATGTTAGTCCACAACATCATCTATGATATAGTATATGTTTGTCCACAACATCATCTATGATATACTGAATGTTTGTCCACAACATCATCTAAGACTTAGTGTATGTTTGTCGACAACATCATCTATGACAGTGTGTTTGGCCAGATCTTCATCTATGAAATAGTATATGTTTGTCCACAACATCATCTATGACATAGTATATGTTAGTCCACAACATCATCTATGATATAGTGAATGTTTGTCCACAACATCATCTATGATATACTGAATGTTTGTCCACAACATCAACTATGATAAAGTGAATGTTTGTCCACAACATCATCTATGATATAGTGAATGTTTGTCCACAACATCATCTATGATATAGTGAATGTTTGTCCACAACATCATCTATGATATAGTGAATGTTTGTCCACAACATCATCCATGACACAGTGAATGTTTGTCCACAACATCATCTATGATATAGTATCATACAAGGGGCTAGCTGGCCGTTTTATGACAATTCTATCCATGTTTGCTATAAAATACTTCTGTAGAGTGAAATATTCTGCAATACCAAAGCCTGGTTTCGTCATATCCCTGAATGATATATCAGAGCCATGCTCACCTTGGTGGTATGGGCTGGAACTAATGTCCAATTCATCTACATCCGGGTAAGCTACTGCAAGAGCCTTCACCAATTCCACAAAGAGGGCATCACTGATGAAGTTGCTGTCCCGGTCGCCATGCACCTTCCCATCATAGTTTCTCAGAAGTTCCTCAATAAAGGATCCATCTTGTTCCAGAATGTCATCTCCCATGTAAGGTATGTTGTGCAACACAGTTTCATCTTCTACCTGCAACACCCAAGATAAAAATACAGCCACTGCATTCTAAATCACCTGGATCTGTACAGTTAATATGTCAACAGAAATCAAACAATAGTTGCCAATGTTAATAATTCAAAGAATACTACTTCTATCACATCATTGCCATAGATCCTGTATTTTGGCTGCCATCACACTATAACAAATCTTCATATTTTCAACAGAAGTCATCTTCATTGTCAACTATCCATAATAACTTGTGATACAAACAGTTTCACATTCCAAAGCCTCTTGCACAGGCTGGAAAACCTCACTGCTTTTACTCACATTCTCAATGAGAAGCAGATAATTTGGGAGATGGGTGGGATTACTGATGATGTAATATGATGATGGGGGCAGTATTCTAAACAATTCTTAAAAATGATAACTATTGTTTGATAGTCTTACAAATACAAAGTCTCCTGTTTCCTTCCAAAAATAGGACTTTAGGGGTACAAAATAGTTCCAAAGAACATTCTCCTAGTTGTTTTGACCAATAATAGGTATGTACATTTGTTTTGAGTAGAAGAGTTGCCTCCAGCTGCCCAATTTTAGTAAAATCTAAATATTTTTTACATTTGTATACTTATCCTGCATTACTCCGTATTGCATTTACTGCTGTCTTTGACAGAGAGACGAACTGTGTGAGATCCAGCTGCTGAAGAAAGTTGTTTCCATCTGTCCAGGAAGCAGCGCCCCCTCCCACACAGTCGGCACGTGACCCGGAAGACATGACGTCATGTCAAAACACATAACTGCTTTAACATAACATCGGAAGCTTCGTGGGGAGGAAGCGGAGCGCAGGGGGGGCACTTAGACTTTGTAATGCAGGATAAGTATACAAATGTAAAAAATATTTAGATTTTACTAAATGTTTTAACTTATCCTGCATTACTCCGTATTGCATCTTTATCAGACGGCACGGCCGGTGGGCATACCTTCAGATGTGAGCCAGAAGAAAACCCTCGACAAAGGTCCGATGAAACCGCACCGCATGGACAAGAGATGACCGGAACACCAGCGACCATTCCTGTTGAAGGAAACGAGAGTCGATGCAAAAGAGGGAACCCCAAATAGGTGACAGAAATAGTATGAGGCGGGAAAGCCAAAACTAGAACTGACCTAAGAGCAAATGCGGAACGCAGTAGAGCCATCTAATCTGGGGTGATAAACACCAGAGTTCGACGGGCCCCGCTCAGGGTAACGGAGAATCAGTGGCGTCGGGGGTTGGTGACCTGTTGAGCTACTACCAGGGGACCAAAGCTATGAACGCCGGCGACATCTTCCAAGGTTACATCACGAAGGTAGTGGCTGGCGAAAACGGTGTCGGATCGCCAAAAACAGCCTTCCATGATGGATTTGAGGGAACAGTTACTGTGAAGAGCCATGGTAGACGCAACCGCCCGAATCTCATGTGGGTTGTTAGCCTTGGGGGGGTCCAATCCGGCGACTTTATAAGCTTGGAAAATGACCGCCCGGAGCCAAAGGGAGATAGTATTCCTGCTGACCTCCGACAGCGACGAAGGGGAGACTGGTAGGAAAAGGCGTTACCTAGACTTACGGTAGGCTTTAGACCGTCGAAGGAAAACCTTCAGGGCCCTAACAGGGCATAATAAAAGCTCCTCCATGTCGTCGGCACCCACAATCGACGAAAGGGGAGGGATGGTGAAGGATCTATCAGGCTGTCCTGGGAGTTAATTCTTTGCGATGAAGTCCCAGCACAGCCCAAGATGAACTGCGCCATGAGTCCCGCGTTCGAACCGGACACGAGAGACGTAGAGGGCGTGGAGCTCACTAACCCGGGCGGCAGTAGCCAAAGCCAGTAGAAACACCTTTTTTCGTTAAGTCGTAAAAGGAAGACGTGTGGAGTGGTTCGAAGGGAGCCTCCCGAAGAGCCTTTAAGACCACATTCAGATCCCATGCAGGCGGTGTGAACTTGGCTTTCTGGTCTTCGAGACGAAACGAGCGCAGCAACACCTGAAGTTCGGGAATTTTCGTCATTCTCCGGTCGTCCAGGATGGCAAGGACGGAGTTAATGGCGACCAGGTACGTGGAGATGGTAGAGCCTTTTAATCGACATGTGCTGCACAAGTACAGAAGAAACTCAGCCAGGAACTGCGGTGACGCCGTCATCGGATCCTGGTGCTTGTCAGAGCAGAATGCCTGGAACGAGGACCATTTATCATCATATAGTCCCTGTGTAGATGGACGATGGGCGAAAGCAATAGCCTTGGCCGCTCTAGTCGAATAGCCCTTGGCTGCTAGGGCTTTTTGCAGATGTGCCAGGCGTGCAGACGAAACCGAGCGGGACTTGGGGGTGGCAACCGACTGTGTGGGTGGAGCAGTAGGTTGGACCACGCCGGCAGTTCTAGCGGGTTGGCCTGGATCTTTCGAAGAACCCTGGGAAGGAGAACCGGAGGCGGAAAAGCGTACACGCTTAATCCCTCCCAGGAACCACTGAAGGCGTCGACTGCTACAGTGGCCGGATCCGAGACCGGCGAGATGTAAGTCGGCAGCTGGCAGTTCTGAGACGTGGCGAACAGATCGATGTTTGTAGTGTCGATCGTTTGGCAAAGGACGGTGAAGATCTCTGGGTGGAGTCGCCATTCGGTGGGAGCCACCTTGTCCGGCCTGGACAGAGTCTGCCAGAACATTCTTGCAACCTGGAATGTGCTGAACAAGGAATTGCAGGTCTAAGCGGTCCACCAGGTCGAAGAATCGGAAGGTCTGGTTGAGCAGGGACTGAGAGTGGAGAGTACCCTGATTCCTCAGACACCACACCACGGTGATGTTGTCCGTGGAGATGGTCAACTGGGCGTGACGGAGAATGCTCTGCCAGTGGGAGACGGCCAGGATGAGAGCTTCGAGTTCGAGATTGTTGCTGTGCCAGTGGAGTTGATCTCCGGACCACAGCCCTGCAACTGTTTGAGTCCCCAGATGAGCCCCCCAACCCTGTTTGGATGCGTCGACGAACAGGTGGATGGAGGGCTGTAGCGCGGTCAAGGAGACGTCGCCGCAGACGTTCGCTTCCACTGTCCACCATCGGAGGAAGGGGTGGAGGTGGACCGGGAGGACGATGAGGGACTCCGGATCCTGCTGTCGGATAAAGGGAGCGAGAAACCGTCGAATTGGACAGAGTTGGAGGGGACCTCTGGCAGTCCGGTCTTGAGCCTGCCATTGGCGGAGAGTTCGAGCCTGCTGGAGGGCAGGGAAGAGATGAGCGAGGATTTTCAACCACCTGTCTCTGGGGACTTGAAGGAGGTCCTGATCCGTGAGAAACAGGCCCCCGATAAACTGCAGACGGAACGATGGGGTCAGCTCCGACTTCGTCTGATTGACGATCCAACCCAACTGATTGAAGAGTCGCAGGGTAAAATCCCTGTGACGCAGTAGCAACGTCGAGTCCCGATTGTTGAGGAGACAATCGTTGATGTATGGATCGAAGTTGATGTTCCTCAGGTGCAGGTAGGCGGCGACCGGCAGGGTGATCCGTGTGAAAAGCCACGGGGACGTGGAAATTCCAAATGGTAGGACCGCCCACTGGTAATGGGTACCATTGAAAATGAACCTGAGGAAGCGCCGGTCGTTGGGGTGGATGGGTACATGAAGATAGGCGTCCTGGATATCGAGACTGATCAGGGAATTGCCTGCTGTGATTCTCGTCCTGAGCAGTCGCAACGTCGTCATTCGGAAGTAGGGAGGACGTTCCAGGTAGCGCCGGTTGAAAGTGGAGAGATTGTGTATCATGCGCCAGCTGGTGGTCCCCTTCTTGGGAACCAGAAACACCCGAGAGTAAAATCCTGGGTTTCGAGCCGGGTCGTGTACGATCTCTATGGCCTCCTTCCGCAGTAGGGAGACGATGCTGTCGTGAAGGGGCCGAAGTTGGTGTGGCGAATAAGCGTCTGTTGTCGGAATTGACGTCAGAGGAGGAAGTGCAGCCAATGGGAGCCGGTACCCCTGACAGAGGATGTTTGTGACGAATGGGTCCTCCAGTATAGACCAGTTTCTCAAAAACCGGTCAAGTCTCCCACCTACAGGTGTGTCGGTGACCGGAACAGCGGGGGGTGGGAGGTCCCAGTCATTGAGGTCCCGCCTGTCAACGCTTTGAGGTGGAATCGGCACCCTTGCCGGGGTGACGATCCCTTTGGGGCTGGTAGGTGCCACGGGATCTACCACGACCACGCCCTGTCTGGCCACGAAAGGGTGAGGTATGTTTGGAGACAACCTTGAGAGAGGAACGGCGTGGTTTGTAGTTGCCTTTGGAGGACTTGGCCGCTGATTGGGGTGTGACATGCTCCAAGGCTCTGAGAGCCGTTTCATCTCTGGTGAAGCTGGAGACTCGGGTGTGGGTAGCGGAGATGGCACCATTAAAAAGGGTATGACCCGACCAAGGTTGTTGTAGTAAGGAACGCTTGAATTTGGAATCCCAGTCCGTGGAAGTCACGTAAACCAACCGTCGAGTAGCGGTGATCTCCGCAAGAGTGGCTCTCATATGATTGCGCAAATGATCGATCTGGCGAAGTTGGAATGTCATAACAGTGCGGAGGTGGTCGACCCTGTTAGGATTGGACTCTGAGAGATCCTGGTCAATGGCTCTGGCAGAAGAGGCAAGTGTAGATAGTGGCTTCAAAGAACGCCGCAGTTCCGTTTCCACGAAAGCGAGTCAGGAGTCCGGCATACGTATGGTGGCGGACTGGGAAGACCCGGTCATTCCATGTAAGTCCTCGTCAAGGATGTGCGCACCGTCAGCCACGTCGAAGGAGTGGAAGGGGAAATCATCACGCCGGAAACGAGGAGCCTTGAACGATGGCGTGAGGGACAACTTAGCAAAGTCCTCGTCCAACGCCGTAAAGGTCTGTCAGCATTGGGTCGGGAGGTAGCGAAGTCGGATTAGACCAAATCGTCGATTTTTTGTCGACATCGGAGCCTGGGGAGGGAGCGACGGAGGTCAAACAGTCCGCTAGCCAATCAGCAACCTGTGATAGGCCCAA